CTATCTTTCAAATGGTGATTAAGATCAACTTTCAGATTAACTTAAGTTAATACTTTAAGTTGAATGATTACATTTTCAGTTCAAATGTAATTAATTTTATGACTTACAAAGCCTCAAACTCAACTGGGTACCCTGAAACAATGGGGGGAGGAAGAATCATGAGAAGAGTCACTAGTTTCTCATGTAAAACAAGAATCTGATTTATATATAAAAAGTTTTAGCCCTGTGTCCTAATTTTACAAACTATTTCTAACTTTTCACCAAAGAATATGCCAACTCTTGTACAATAGGCTAGTAAATAATGATGCTGAAAAAGTAAAAATTATTTATTACTGCAGTTTTAGTTTTAAAATGGGGCTTCCATAGTCTATATTTGTGCTCTTAAGCTACATAAGCATTATTGAAAATTACATTCTTGACCTTTCTTCACTATCACCAGAACTTCCAATAGAAAAATGCCAAATAAAACAGGCTTTCTATACAATTCTGATCTCTTTTTAATATTCAATATTAAAAAGCACAAATTGAATTATTATTTATGGAGTTCACATGCAAGTGAATGGGATATGCAATTTGAAACATGGTTCTAAAAGGTCAGTCTGAAAAAAATATTCCTATACCGAAGAGAAAAAAGCGTGGATAGTATCCAAATTTCATATTTGTTCAGACAAAATGCTGAAATTTGTGTTCCTACACAATTTATTTGGAGGAAAAAGAATCCAGTTTTAAAGAACCTTGGCAATTTTGTTCCTTTCAGACACGCATACTATTATTCTGGACTAGGAGCTGGTGTTCTCTTGGCTGCCTACATGCAAGTTGCATTTTGGACAGTGGCAGCTGGTCGGCAAATCAAGAAAATCAGACAGCAATTTTTTCATGCAATAATGCGACAGGAAATTGGATGGTTTGATGTAAATGATGTGGGGGAACTCAACACTCGACTTATAGAGTGAGTATTATTACTGTTTTTTATTCTATTATTAAATTTTATTAGTAGTAGTAAGAAAGCGTCAGCTGTAAGATAGCCAGAGATGACCTGAGCAGGGGGTAGGGCCCTGCCCCTGGATGCAATGAAGCCAGCAGCAGATTCAGGGGCTGGGGTGTTGAATAGCCAGACCTGAAGCCTGCAGCAGCACAGAGTCACCGCACTGCTCCACCTGGCACCCCAATTCTCGCTCCCCGCCCCCGAGGTATGGCCCTGGATATAGCCTTCCTGACAGTGTTTCTAATCTCATTAAATAGACCTCTGTGCTACATTTATATTTCCTTGTACTTCATATTAAAAAGTAAAACTTGCCAAGAGGATGCAAGTGACTCTGGAAAAATGCTGGGCTCCCCTAACTTTTTCCTCACCTAAATGAAAGACCTTTTTCCTGGGACCCTATAGAGACCCAGGATTCAAATATATCCAAAATCTGTACGTAAAAGACAACAAGAAGCAGCATGGTATCCTTGGGTAAAGCATGGCAGCAGCATCTCTTTTAACAGCCCCTTGGAAAGAATTACATTTTATTTTTATGAGATTGATCCTGTAAGATTGCTTTAAACTTCCCCTGTTTATTACATATATTAGCCCCTGCTCTGAAGGCAGATGTTGACAGAGGAAGATGTGGGGCCAGTATGGGCCTCTATAAAGAAGTCCATGTACCACAAAAAAAAAAAATCTTCCAACATCTGTCTGTCTCTCAAGGGGTATGCATGTATCTGCATAGATCTATGAATCCTACACAAGTCAAAGTACTTTCATGACAGAATAAATGAAAAAAAAGTTTACTGAATTGTTTTCCCTAGCATCCTTCTACATACATTTCTATTGGAAGAGACGTTCTCAATCTCTTAGGTATGGCTTAAACTACATTACAACTGAGTGGCTGCAATTACAAATAAAGAAAAATGAACAGAATAGATGTACCATAGCAATGTAAAAGCTTTTTGTGTTTTCTATATTTCCTTATTTGTTTGGGTGTGGGTTTGTTTTTATTTTTAGTGATGTCTCCAAGATTAATGAAGGAATAGGGGACAAAATTGGAATGCTATTTCAAGCAGAAGCTATGTTTCTCACTGGGTTTATAGTTGGTTTTATAAAAGGATGGAAATTAACTCTTGTGATACTGGCAGTCAGCCCTGTCCTGGGATTATCAGCTGCTATATGGGCAAAGGTAGGTGAAAACTGAATTTTCACTGGGATGTAAAATTATATATATAGTGCCCTGTTTCATATAAGTAGGGACCTACTTATAATCACAGTGAGGCTCAACAATTTGTGGGTTGGTCATGGCATAACAAGCAAATTTTGTGGTTATTTCCCAGATGTGCTCCAGTGACCCTGCCCCCCTCAGCACATGGTCAGTGGAGGCACCCCAGCAGGAGAGGAGGGATGAGGGGGCAGCTGCCACCTAATCTGCTGACTGTACTTTGTGTGGTCCTGCCCCTCAGTGCTGTTTGGTGGAGAGGCCCTGGCAGGGGAAAGGGGAGGCACAAAAGGGTGGCTGCGATCTCATCTGCTGCCCTTCACATTGCCCTGCCAGGTAGCACCTTTCCCCATGCCCTCACCTTTAGGCAGACTGAGATCCTGGGCCATGGCAGCAAGAAACACTGGTCCCCACTAGAGACAGAATTTTATTTTTATCATCAGCAAAATCAACTCAAGAAAACAATATTGGATTTTGCAATTTCCACAAAATCTGCAAAATCACAAATTGAGTAGACCTGTATATTTAACTAAAACATACTGAAATAAATATATAGTGATTTATAAATATAGAATGAACTAAATATACAGCAATAAAGAAATTAATTCCCTAGCCTTTAAAAGTAATAGTTTTAGACCTAGTCTACAAGCAGATGTTGTATGTAACCAAATTGGTCTATAATTATACTGGTACAGTTAAAGCAGTACAAGATCTCTGGTGTCAACGTATATGGATCCGAAGCTGCTTATACTAGTATAGCATGTTCTGACAAGGAAAGCAAAGTAAGGTGAGTGCAGGCAAGATTCTTTGACTAGATGCGATAGTTGATCTAAGAAAAGCTGAGTAGTCGGAAAAAAGTTCTTAACAAGCTTTCTGGCACAATCACCCTTCTTCAGGAATAGGGAGTCTCTGCTGCTCTGGGACTCCAAGAAATGAGAGAAGCTAAAAGTGTGGCAGGATGTCAGTGAGACTGGAAATAGGTAGAAGTTAGAAAGACAAAAAGGTGAAGCAGGGAAGGGAGGGAGGAAAAAAATGGCAGGAAAAAGGTTAAAAGCGAGTAAGGGAGACACTACAGTGGTAGTAATTCAAGATAGAAGAGGCCATCTGTGAAAAAAGGAAATATCTGAACATTAGGAAGACAGAAGACAGAAGTACAGTAGGGAAGAAAAGGCAGGGGAAAAGAAAAATGTAAAAAGGTCAGGTCTGACAGGTAACTGGTGAATCAGATGGCAGGCAGGGTGTAATGCATCGTAAATCCAATGTCTATATTGAGTCCGTGATTTTTTGTATCCAGTAAATTTATGAAGTGATGTTTGTAGGCTTGTCTACAAAAGGTGTTTTGTAAGTTCCCTTTGAGGATTAGAATTGAGATTGGAGAGGGAGTGATTATCCTGTAAGAAGTGCCCCCACAGGCAGTTGAGTATTCTTATCTTTGATGGGTTTTCAGTGTGCATTCATTCTGGTGTGTAGTTGTTTCATAATTGTTAGGGTTGGGTCCTCAATAGTAGGTGTGTAGTTGTTTCATAATTGTTAGGGTTGGGTCCTCAATAGTAGGTAGGGAAGGGGGTCTCAATAGATCATCGAGTCTGATCCCCTGCTCTGGGCAGGAAAGGGCAGGTCATATGACCCCTGCCAGGTGTTGTCTAGTCTCCTCTTAAAGACCCCCAAGGTATGAGTGCACCACAGCTTGCAAAACTTGCAAAACAGCTTTCATAGACTAGCCTACAAACTTCACTTCATAAATTTACTGGATACAAAAAGTTACAGACTCAATATAGACATTGGATTTATGACACATTACAACATGCCTGACATCTGATTCACCAGGTACCTGCCAGATTTGACCTCTTACATTTTTCTTTTCCCCTGCCTTTTCTCCCCTACCCTACTTCTGTCTTTTGTTCTCCTAATGTTCAGCTATTTCCTCTCTCACACATGGCCTCTTCTGTCTTGAAATACTACCACAGCAGTGTTTCCCTTACTCACTTTTGAGCTTTTTCGACCATTTTTTCCTCCCTCCCTTCCCTACTTCACTTTGTCTTTCTAACTTCTACCCAGTTCCAGTCTCACTAACATCCTGTCACACTTTTAGCTTCTCACATTTCTTGGAGTCCCAGAACAGCAGAGACTCCCTATGCCTCAAGATGGGTGATTGTGTCCAAAGGCTTGCTAAGAACTTTTTTCCAACTACTCAGTTGGTCTAAGAAAAGATATCATATTTACTCAAAGAACCTTGCTTGCCTAGGTCCTTAGACCATCACAGGTACAACCAAAAACCCACCAAATATGATGAGTGAATGCTCAGCAGAAGAGGAAATTGAGCCTTAAGTCCAGTATAAGGTACCTTTGTATCACCCAAGTGATAGAATTGTCTGAAAAAAATTAAAACAATTGCTTAACTGAAATTATTACAACAGTTAGCAAGGCAAGCAGACTTCAATTGCAAATTGACTTCACATACAGAATTGTTTTTGCTTTTGGCTAGGATTGTCAAGGAGACTTAATTCGACCACCTTTGAATTTTAAGTAGTTTTGTACTTTTTAAAATCCCAGCCTTATATAGCATGATTCCTTCTATTTTTCTCCAAAGTATTTGCAGGACTCTACTGTGGCTTTGTATGCTAACTGCAATGTATACATGTGAGATGCTACATTCCAGTTATGCTCAGCTACATGTGGTCCTTATCTCTTGTAGCCAACCAGAAAAAATCAGAATAACCCAAGGCTGCTCTGATCTGCCCAGGGATCAGGATTTAACCTGGGGATCAGTTCACAGAGAACCCTCCATACTTATATTTCTACACTATGTAAAAGCTCAAGAGCAGAGAAAATTCAGCCTCAGGTTTATAACATTTAGATATTTCTTGGCAATAAATGTTATACAATTGATGTTGTCTTAACTTCTTATATTGAATATCTTGCCCTCTTCTGTGGTATTTAAGTGAAAGGGTTTATATTTGGTAAATGGCAGCATACTGCATATTTCTGCAAGAAGCAAACTAGGATAAAAGAAGCATCAAGAAACTATTTGAGCTCATTCTATTTTCCTTTGAGCAGTAGGGCAGAGGCCTATGGAGCACTTTCAGCTCCTCAGGGATGAAGGAAGGGGGGCATGAAATATGCTGACCACTGGAGAGCTGGGGAGGGGGAAATGGAGGCTTGGTCTTACCTGATGAGGCCCTCCTTACTTGGAGGGCAGATGCTGCAGCACATGCTTGTACTGCTGCTGCTGAGCTCAGCACGGGCACCTCCTGGTGTCCATTCTTTCTCCTCCCCAATGTCTGGGTGCAGGGCTATGCCTCTAATGCCAAAGCCTCCTAGAGAGGATTATCATCATTCCATCTCCCAGATAACTTGTTGGGTGCAGAGCTGTGCCTGCCTAGTTCCTATGGTTAGGCAGGGGCAAGGAAGAACATCATCTGCTGTGGCAGAGACTCCAGGAGGGAGGGGGCCATACTGTCTCCCCTCTAAGTTGGCACTCAAGGCTGGTGTCCTGCTCACCACCATCCTAGTTACACTGCTGCTGTAAAGTTAAAATATTCCCTTTTGTACAGGTACTCTCTGCATTTACTGACAAAGAACTAACTGCCTATGCAAAAGCAGGAGCTGTTGCTGAAGAAGTTCTGGCAGCAATTAGGACTGTGATAGCTTTTGGAGGACAGAAAAAAGAAATTGAGAGGTCAGAGAATTATTTTCCTTCTCAGTTAATTTTAAAATATTTGCTTTATGCATTTTAAATTTTACTTTTCTTTATTGCTAAACATAAGTTTAAACAATAGACTGGCAAGCTGGGTTCTACAAGTCATCATTTAATAAACCTAGAGTACCATTTTATCTAGTACATTTGGGGTAGTTAAGTTGACTAATTAGAGTTTTATTCATCAGTTTTATTACATACTGAATAATGAGTCTTTATTTTTTCAGATCCTCACAAAGCAAGCAGGCACATGATCCCTACCCCAAGAGTTAACTAAATTTAAAAAAAATAAATCATTTAAAAAAAAAAATCACACTAAGATATTAGGCAGAAAAGAAGCATGGGGAAAGAAAAGACCAAAGATCTCACCATTATGATCATATGCTTATTCAGGATTCTTCTCGATTGTTCCATTAAGTTATACTCATTTATTTTATTGCATTATGGAACAGCATGGCTGCAATGTATTTGATCTTTTATCTACCTATAATGATTACCTAGTATAACCATGAATCCTGACTGGGACTTGCCAGGCTCAAAGTTCAACCACCACTAGATCATGCAAAGTAATCACAGCCAAGCCCTGAACTGATATGCTCCCTTATGCTTCAGCTTTCAGTTCCATCCGAGTCTGGTTGGGACAGGGGCTGCCTTGGGACTGTCTGGTTACACAACTCACCTCAGAACCTTTCTTAGTCTTTAGGTGTTTATCACCAATATCTTATTGGACCCATAGATCCATAAATTTGCAAAGTAAATGGCTCAGGGTGGCCTTGAATGTGATAGAGTGCATACTCAGTCACTCCGAGTCACCCACTCGGAAAATCAGTAAGCCTGGGTAGCATGTGGAGTGCACAGCATAGACATGCTCGTCTGTCAGAACTGTATTATGGTGATAGAATGATTGGCCTCTTTAAAAAAGTTTGCAATTTTCCTTCCTTAGTCTGAAGAATGAAGGACTCTGAAGAAACCACATGCAGTTTAATGTTGAAAGGAGAGATGAGTAACTCTGAATAAAGCTATAAACTTGTATAGTGGTGAAATACAACTCATGCCTCTTGCCCTAAACTCAGTGCGTGCATCTACATGTGCAATTAACATGTAGCAATAAACTCTAGTGCAGTTTGCACCAGAGTTCATTTCTTCTGGGCACAGCATTTACATGTGTGCCTGGCACACTGAACCACAGTGGTACAGCCTGGGCTGGCAGGGTTCTGGGGGTTCAGCTTGCCAGCCTAAGGCTTCTTTGCCCTGGCTCTATGTGCAGTGGAAGGGCTGGCTGGGACAAAAAGATGCAACATGGCAGGGCTAGCTGGTAGCACCCTTGTGCAATGTAGCACCCTTGTGCCCCAGACACCATCTACACATGCATTTCAGTGCATGCAACTACTCCGCTTTTGGATAGTACTTGTCCCAGACAGTATTATTCCACAGCAGAATTAATTAATTTACTGTACTGAACCCTAATATTGGCACACATGTAGACAGTGACACTTTACTGCAGAGCTAGTAAGTCAGCTCCACAGTAAAGCACAAGTACTGGTGACCCCATTTTGTATGTCAGTTAAGTGGGCTGCTTTAGTTTTGTCTGCTTTTCATGGACTACCTCCTTCATGAGAAAATCTACCATTTTAGCTTCTCAGTTCCAGTGGGGTGCAGCAGTGCAACATGTTTAAGGCAGGTATTGCTTTCTAAAGTAAATATGCATGCCCTTTGTGCCGCACCCAGCTGAGCCAAGAAAATACAATTGAACAATTAAACAGAAGTGTAGTGAGAATATTAACAAGTCTGCTCCTGCAAGGGTAGTTTCATAGACATTAGGGCTGGAAGGGACCTCATAAGATGGAATCCAGCCCTCCTGCCATACTCAGGAAGTCTGCTGGGGTCAAATGATCCCAGCAAGACAGGCATCCAAATGTTTTTTGAATGAGTCCAGAGTAGGTGCTTGCATCACCTCTGGAGGGAGTCTGTTCCAGACCCTGAACACATGGACAGTAAAGAAGTTTTTCCTCATGTCCAGTCTAAAATTGGCCTTCCAGAAATTTGTGGCCATTAGACCTTGTTATCCCTTAGAGAGCCCTGGTGAACAACTTCTTTCCCAGATCCTGGTGCACATGCCTTATATACTTATAGTAGTTTAACTTTTCTTTCATCAATAATAACTCAAAAGTTTTTTCAACTTGTTTCAACTCAAAGTTTTTTCAATCGGTACCTGATTACTGATTGACAAAAAACATCACAGACCTGGAAAATTACTGATGTGCAGAGCATAAAAAGAAATATGGTATTATGTGTAATTCTTTAAATAAAAAAACTAACATGCGTTCTTTTTGTGCAGATATCATAAAAATTTAGAAGATGCAAAACGTATTGGAATTAAGAAGTCTATTACAGCCAGCATTTCTATGGGTATTGGTTTTTTACTGATCTATGCATCGTATGCATTAGCTTTCTGGTATGGAACCACCTTAATATTATCTGAAGATTATACTATTGGAAACGTTCTAACAGTAGGTGTACTTCCAGTAATTGAATCATTTAATTAGAACCTCTAAATAACATATTGGGAACTTGTTTGGGTTTAAATGGAATGAATCAAATGCTACACTGAATTAGGCCTCATGCAACCCTGTTCAAGTGAATGGTGTTAAGTAGGCTTTATGTTCATATTGAACATGGCTTGCTGAATTTCATTTTTCATCCATGCTAAGTACAAGTAGAAATTCTGAAATTATCATTAGGTATGTCTTGAGATTGGTAGGAATATAAACATCTTTATACCTGTAAGTCACTGGTTTTGGTACAGCAGGGGTTAATAAGGACCAAAAGTTATTTTCAACTAATGATAATCATAGTCAGTGGAATCAAGGACCCATGCTGTGATAGAGCTTTTATATCCCTGACCTATACCAGGGGACTAGAGTAAGGAAATAAACAACTTAACACCACTCCTGTGTGTTATTTATTATAGATATATATTTGAAGTTTAAGGCCTATTATTAATGGATGGTATTCTTATCACTAAAATCATAATATTAATTGGCATTTAACTGAGACTTTGTATGGGATTTTTATAGAGGGTATAGTAATCCAGGGGAAGTAAAGTCATCATCTCACTTCAAGGTAATCTTTCTAGAATGGATTCTTGCAGTGATGTATGAAAGCACGAGGAAAAAAAAAATCATTCTTCTTGTGAGTAAATGAACAGAGTGATAACATTAGATGGTGAAATATGAACTATTCCAATTCAACCATCCATTAACCAAGTAAAAAAATAAGTGCCAATGTGGATTTCTTCCATCGCATCAGATTGCGGTTCTGGTGTCTGTGTAGTTTTCGATCCAACTCAAGGTCTAAATCAGAACAAAACAAATAAATATCAGACTGGTAGATCCTCTTTTCCTGCTCTCACATACAGGGCTGGTGTAAAAGAAGGTACACATTGAAGGACTTGATAGATGGGACATATTAGCTCTTATTTCATGCCTGCAGTGGCTCAAGCCAAAAGCTGGGGGGTGCTAGGGTATGGCTGCCAGTCACTGCCAAAGGGGAGGGAAGAGAGATGACCTCCAAGGCTGTCACCCCTCCCTGCTGGAGCAGAGGGGGCATGGCCAGGCACCAGCTGGAGCTAGCACAACACAAGGGATGCCACCCACCAGATGGGGGGGGCAGGGGGAGGGCAGATGCTGCTAGACTGAGGAGTGGGTATGGGGAAAAAGTTCTCTCTGAAGCAAGCACTATTGAACACAGCAATTTCCAAAGCATACAACAGGGAACTACCAAAAACCGTTGCCTGAGCTAAGACACAGCCTAGTAAAATACAGCATACACAAAACTTAGTCCAACTTAAAATGTAACCCAGGAGGACAAGAATTAGTTTTACTAATCCTGGGGTGGGGGAAGAGCTTACAGTCAGGCGTTCAGAAAGGCTTGGTTTAGGTATTCCCAGTTTTTACATGTTCTGCTTTATAATGTAAATGTAGCTCTCCGCATCCTTTGGGAAAGCTGCCTGCAACTTCCCGTAACTACACCTCCAGCAAGCATGATTATGATCGTCAGGTCTTTGCCAACATTTCCCACCTCTGAGTCTGGTCCTGCAGGTCTTAGCTCTGGGCTCACAGGTGCAGGGCTTGGATCTGCATACAGGCACCTAGCTTGCCTCTTTCCTCCCTCCCTCCCCCCACATGCTGTGGAATTAATCCCCACTCTGCCTGGCTGCAGGCAAGCCACAGAGACTGCAGCCAAACCCCACAAGGGTTCCAGGGGAGAGCGGGGACACAGGAAGGAATTAATTCTGTCCCTGCCTGGCTGCAGGCAAACCATGGAGGTGTGAAGGGTTGGCAAACCCCATCTGCAGAGGAATTTGCCTTGGGGGCCATGGCAGGCCAGCATCTGGCCACACCCTGCCCCAGCTAAGGGGCAAAGGAGAGCAGCCAGCCCAGCTCACTGGAGCAGAGAGCAGAGCTCCACCCAGCCCAGAGAGTATCCTGGGGGACCCCTTAACTTAAACCAGCAAGGGGTCTGGGACAGACACTGCATAAACCAGTTTAAGCCAAATCAGTTAAGTCAGATACTACATTCAGCCAGGTTTATCTTAAACCGGTTTTGGTCATTTTCAAACTGGTTTATGCACACTGAAGCTAGGGATGGGCATTCAAAAAAAAGCCTGAGCCTGAATTGATTCAATCTTTGCTGGTTAGTCTAACCTGCAAAGCTTGAACCAGTTTGGAGGTGGATACACATTCCCTTTCCATTCCAGAAATGCAGGCTCAGACTAGACGTAGGGTGGGGCTAGAGCAGTCCTCCCTTCCAGAGTACTGAGCTGAGGGGGTACATGGCCAGGCCCCACCAGGACACTGATTAGCCCAGCAGGGAATTGATAATAGTGTTTCCCCAGAAACAAACAGAGGGACATTACTAGCTACCTGTTGATTCTGTCCACCACAGCACAGGCCACAGCCAGCATATGGTCTGCTAGCTAATACACAAATACCACTCAGCAAGGCAGGGTGGTGGGGGGAAGAAATCAGAGCTGTAAGTCTCTGCTAGAGCTGCAGCCAGGGAGCAGAGGGGAGGGGCCAGCTTTGCTATGGAGCATAGCACCCCACCCAGCCCAGAGACCATGCTGGGATGCTGGGAGACTCTGATTCAACTTAAGCCAGCAAGGCATCTGGGACACTGCATAAAACTGGTTTGAGCCAAATCAGTTAAATCTGATACTATATTCAACCAGATTCATCTCAAACCAGTTTTAATCACCTTGAAACTGGTTTGTGTGTACTGAACATGTGTTCTGTTACAGGTTTAAACCAGTTTCTGATCACTTAAACCAGTCTGTGTGTCCCTAGCTGTTATGGGCATTTTGGAGTACTATTCAATAACAGTATTGTTAAGAGTGTATACATGATTCACAAAGTAAGCCTCAGGGATTTCAAATAGGAATCCATTCTGTCAAAAAACATTAGGACTTGCTGTTGCTCTAGGTTCTCTGTAAAGGAAGAATTTCTCTATTTTTAATAGTCAAGAAATGAGTGAAAGCTAAGACTTAAAGTTGGCATTTTCTGAAGAGTGCCTTGAGTCTAAAAAGTTTAAGAACCACTGATTTAAAAAGTAGTTGTCAAGTGAAGAGCAGAACAGTATCTTTCATCAGCATTTATATTCTGTTCCTAGGTTTAGAAAGAGGTGGTACTTTAATACATAAAGTAAACCTGGTTGGCTCTGTGCTTGCCGGAGTTAGGACAAGCTTGTCTTTAACTCTTCTGAAACCCAGCTGTCAGTGACTAGACAAGATATTCTTTTTTAAAACAATGACCATATTTTGTATTAATTCTGTGTCAGAAAAGGATACAAAACTAAGCGGAGCAAGCGTTAGATTTTTATGGACTTTTGCAGTCCCAATTCATCCCCCTCCTACCTCAGAAAGGGAAACTAGGACTCAGGAGATCTTAAGGAGGGAGGGAATGCTGTCAATTTCCAATGCAACTTTTCTGTCTCCTAATATTGTATCATCTTTTCTTTATGATGTAACTGATACAGGTACTTTCCCCTGTCCTCAAAGCACTTTGGGGCTGATTAGTGAATTGTTACAGTAGATTTGGAGGCATTCAGTACAATCATAGTTTTTGACAGAGTGTTGGTCTGCATTTTCAATGCAACTTGTCTTTGCAATCTTTAGAATACCCTAATTCTTCTTAAGATTCTCCTGTGAAGGATTCACATTAGTCATAAGTCTTTGAGAAGAGTTTGCCATCTCAGAACTGCAAGTTGTCCCAGCTATCAGCATCATCTTTACAATACCCTCTTTGTAGTCATAATGTGAAGAAGCATGGTTTGCAATAGCTATTTACAGAGTCTATTTTCTCCCTCTTTACTTTTAGCTTTTGCTTAAATAACTGCTCTTACATTCATTGATGCTCTGCATCTAGACTACTTGGACTTGCATAACAAATATGAAGCCTTTTGAACTAATGTTAATTCATATTCATAAATAACTTGACATCTAGCTAAGGTATGGATCAACATAAATTTTGACTGCTTTAAGAGGAGAGGGGAAGCTGCAGCTCAGGAGAGTACAGTAGCTATTATGCTGCAACTGTTTGGCAGAAGATAGGGTAGAGTGGAACATGGGAGACCAGCTGGTTCAAAGAGATACAGGTTTCCCTCACCAACCAGTTTTGAGCATTCACACTTAATATTCTATATACCATTTTGGCTACCAAAGTATACAGTTTTGAGTAACCATGGTTTTCTGTGGCCATGCATCAGCCCACCACCTGCCATTTTTCCCCATAAGCTTTTTGGTCTTGCTAACCACGGGAACTTTCAGGAACCTAACCCTACCAGCTGGCAAGGGAAACCTGTATGAATTTTTACCAACCTACTTTGTAAGGTGTTTCTGCCAATGTGGACAGTTGTCTGTAGAAGCTCATGCTTCTCTGAACTGTTTAGTCTCCGAGGTGCCACCTTGCCCTACCTTGCATCTCACTTCAAACTAAAATGAGTAACCGACTGTAACTATGGTCTGAATGAACTTGTTGCAATAAAATGAGCTGAATCATGCATGTTAAAATGGACCTTAAATAGAGCTACAGATTCAGGCAGACAAAACTGCATAACAGCAGCTTCTCCATTGACATTGCTGTAGTTGTTGCACCTGTCTGTACCCTTAGACTTATGACTAGGTGATCTGATAGTTTTTTGCTTTATTTTTTCCTTCAGGTCTTTTTTGCAATACTAATCGGAGCTTTTAGTGTTGGACAAACTGCACCAAGCATTGAGGCACTTGCTAATGCTAGAGGAGCTGCCTATGCAATCTTTAAGATCATAGACAATGTAAGTATCGTTGATGTGGGTAGCATTTAAAAACATAAGCACCTTGATTTCTAACATCTGTCACCTCCCACCCCCCAAAAAAAAAAAATCAATGAAAATATTTCCCTTGCTAGTGCTTTTATAGATAAAGAACAAGACAATGATGAGGCACAACAGCTAATACTAGTGACATGGATTAAAAACTTCACTCGCCTATGAAATTGTTTTAATCTAATCAATTTTAAAAGGTTATATAGTATCTCTAAATAATTGTTGCACATAACGTAATAGAATGTCAACTTATTTTTTCTTGGTTATTTTCTGTATAGGAACCACAGATCAACAGTTTTTCAGAAGCAGGCTACAGACCAGACAACATTAGAGGGAATCTGGAATTCCACAATGTTTATTTCAATTATCCATCTAGACCAGATGTTAAGGTACTAGGAGTGAAGTCCATATGAGTTTCTGTTAAAAATAACTTCATTATTTTACTGTGGTTGAAGTCACTGTAAATGAGCTTTTGTTTTTAAAAGCATCTGTATTTAGTTCTAGCTGTCAACTCAATATGAAAGTTACAAATTGCCTTGCATTCAGTAGCATTTTACCACGAGTTAGTTAACTGGAATTAGCCAACTTGAGTTAACACCTTTTTTTCCCTAGTGAACTCAGTCAAAAGTAGCTTTGTAGCAAAAGCTAAAGGAACACTTGCCCGTGTAAGACCTAAATGTTTGACATGTTTACAGTTATATAAAAAAAAGCAACTTGGGATGAATAGTAATATAGTAAGTTTAAAATGCCCATAGTATAAATATGTTAATAATACAATAGAAAGCATCTTCAATTGTGACAGACATGGAACTTCCCAAAATAAAGACATTAGATTTAGTTTATCATACATTGAATACATAAAGGTAAAACTACCTTCTATTACTATTTAAATTTTATTTAATGCATGGTATTGTAAGAGATCCTGAACTAAGTTATCTTTAAATTATTTTTGAGAATCCATTTATTAAGAATGTCATAATGTCAAAGTCTTGTCATATATAATCGTTTGTTTCTGTACTTTGAAAGATCACTAAATTATCAAAGGGGAACTGTTCCCACATTATTTAGGTTCTTGGGGAAGGCAAAGGGAGAAAAGTTTCATTTTTAGCCAATTTAATATAAAAACAGGATTGAAAAGAGGCTTGTCAGTTTCTCAAGGGATTGAATTAAATTATCTGATTCCCACTGGGTGCATCTACACATGCCATTAAGGTGACATAATAAACTCTGGTGCAGTTTACACTGGAGTCAGCTGCTCCCAGGCACAGAATCTACATGTGTGCCTGGGACCGTAGCAGTTGGAGCCAGGGCAGAGCAGCCCGGGGCTGGCAGGTATCAGGCAGCAGAGAGGATGGCCAGGCCATGAAGATGCTAAAAAGTGCAGGGCTAGGCTGCAGGTAGTCCCCACACTTCAGCACCCTCATGCCCCAGCCAGCCTATCAACATTTACACGTACGTTTCTGCAGAGTTAGGTACTCTTCCATAAGATAGTATGGTCCCCAACAGTACTTTTTTACAGCAGAGCTGATTAATTTTCACCTTAATACTAGCGCACCTGTAGATAGTGATGCTTTACTACAGAGATAATTAGCCAGCCACCCAGTAAAGTGCCTGTGTAGATGCACCCTCTGATATGTGACTTATGTTGGCCTCAGTGAAAGTTGGATAAGATGCTGGGGTTTAAGATGCATATATATGAAATATTCTGTTAGATGAAATAACAGAAACAAAGTTGAAATGATGAACAGCACTGATTTCTGTGCAGGTCTAATGCTTTATTGAGAGCACTGCTAAATGACTTGCAAGTAATCCCTGCCTAGCAAAAGTAAAGCTAAAGAATATAATCAACCTTCATAACATAATAAAAATTGGACCTAACCTTCTACCTACTCAAGTAAAACTATTCTGTGCCTTGTACATTTCTTGAGTAGGAAAGCAATATGCTTCAGCTTTATTTTTGTGCAGGACAAAGGGTCAGATTCAATGTCTACTGAGGTCAGTGGGGACCTTTATGTTCACTTAAGTTTCCTTAGGTTTTAAATTAAACTATCTGTTAATTTGACTTGTACCAATGGGAAGCCTGTATTCAGTTGTCTTTCACGTGTACTAAATTTCCATAAAAATATCTGCAGAATAAAGACCTTTAACAGCCTTGAGATAGATCATGGATTTAGGGTAGATCACTTCCTTAATTTTCAGATGTTACAGAAATTGCAGAAAAGTAGGGCTGGGAGTAACCTCAGGAGGTCATCTAGTTCAACCCCCTGCTGAAAGCAGGGTCACTTCTGTCTACATCATTCTAGTAGAGTGTCTGTCTAACCATTCACTTGACCTAAGCCGTTATCTCAAAAAATGTATTAAACTGCTAGAATTTAACTTGCGGTCTATGTACACAATAACATTCGGAAAAGAGTCAGGGCAAGTCAAACAAAGGAGAGAATAATATGCATAAATTAAAGTTTAAATCCCATGTAGATGTTCTCATTCAAGAGTTAAATGGCCTTTATCCAGGGTGCCCTGATCTGGCCCCAATGCAATGCCATTCAGCCCACAGGGTGGCTAACAGGTTTGAAGATTTGCTGCCTGGTGCCAGAGGGCCAGCCAAGGCTGTGCTGGGCCTAGTCTTGGTGCACAGACTAAATCTGGCCCACAGACTGGTCCTGCACCATTCATCTAGCTCAGTAAGGGCCACTGCCTTAGTCTGTAACAGCTTAACTCCTAGGGCATCTAATACATGCTGGGGGTGGGGTGGAAGTCAGAGCAGCTCCAAAAACTGCTCTAATTAAAACCACCCGCAGTGTCTCCTATATTCAGTATCCTGCACTTCAAAATGGCAGTGGGAGCATTTTAACTAAAGCTCATTCAACGAGCTTTAACTAAAGTGCCCCCACCACCATTTTGAAGCACAGAGATGCTGAATACATTAGATGTGAGGGCTGCTGAAGTGCACTAATTTGCATGCTTCAGAAGAGTAGATTAATCCAGTCTGCTCCAACATGCTATAATTACAGAGCATCAGAGCACCATCCCCACATGTCTGTGGGCACCCTTAGAGACCTAACTGGCAAAAAATCTTTTTCTCTCCCTTCCAGCATAGGTTTTTTAAGAGCTCTTGTTAATCCCTACAGTTGTACGATATACTGAGAGCTAAGAGGGTCTTCTTGTAGGCTGCTATTCTTTTTTCACTACAGAGAACCAGCAATGCTGGAAGCCTAGGATTCTTTACTTTTGCTATATCAGTAGTTAACGGCACCTTACTTTCTCCACCTAGGAGGCAGGAGAGATTACATCAGCATGAAATGCAAAGCTCCATACCTATTGTGGGACAAAATGCTCCATTCCAAAGGAACTAACATAGAAGAGCTGTTTATAGTGCAGTCAAGTTCAAATGTTCTAATTTGCATAAGAAAAATTAAAAGGACTTCGAAGGAAGAGAAGTTTTCCCTCCAGGGTTATATAAACAATATTTTATTACATCCAGATTCAACATAAATAGGTTCCACTGTAATTAATGTTCCCTATGACTTACATGGTGAATGTTCATAAAAAAGGTGACCTTAACAAATGCTAGATACTAGCACAACATCTAATGTAATATCTATATTATGTGCATCTTCATATAATATTTGCAATTAGTAGAATGTAAATTGATCCATGATGTAACTACTCTAAATTGTGAAATACACTGATTGGACAAAATTCTGCCATTAACTTGAAAAATTCCACTGAAATTACCAAAGTTTCTTCATATTTACACAAACCTAAATGAAACTAGGTCTATTATGTTTCTATTGATTGGTTAAATTTTCTTATGTAGGTATTGAAAGGCTTGAATCTGAAAGTTAATTGTGGCCAAACGGTAGCCCTAGTTGGCAGCAGTGGCTGTGGGAAAAGTACAACAGTTCAACTGATACAAAGATTTTACGACCCTGAAGAGGGCAAGGTAAGACACCAGACCTGGATGATTTATACATGTTTCCTTAATTAATAGGAGCATCCTAATTGACAACTGGCAAATATTAAAAGGTCTTCCTAAAGATCATAGATGTTAACATTGCCAGAAGGGGATAACTTCGATTGAGACACTTACAGACATGTTTTTATTTAGATTACTCTTGATGGGCAGGATATTAAGACTCTAAATACAAGATATCTAAGAGAGATCATTGGCGTGGTGAATCAGGAGCCTGTCCTATTTGCTACAACGATAGCAGAAAATATCTGTTACGGCCGCGAAAATGTTACCATGGAAGAGATTGAAAAAGCGGTCAAGGAAGCCAATGCTTATGACTTTATCATGAAGCTACCTGATGTAAGTAAATCATCATTTGAGAACATCCGGCTTTGTTTCTTTCAATAAAAAGAAAGTGTTTTATCCCATAAGTCACTCTCATAAGAAAGTTAAAAAAGGTGGTCTTCAATCATAGCTGGTTGAAAAATGATACCAAGAGTCATTTGTAATGATTCACTGTTAAACTGGAAGGTCACTTCAAGCAAGGTTCAGAAGAGACCTGTTCTGGGCCTCATTCTAACAAATATTTTTTATTAACAATTTGGTTGATAGGATAAATAGTAGACATCTAAAGTTTGAACATTAGAGCAAGCTGGGAAAGGTTGCCATCAATTTAGATAGCACGATCAGTACTCAAAGTTATCTAGACAAATTGGACACATGCTTTGAAATTGACAAGATTAAATTAATAAAAGAGCAAAGTCCTATACTTAAGGAGGAAAGATCAAACGCACCAACCAAATGGGGAATAATTTGTTAGACAGCAGCACAGTGGAAAAGTAGCTGTGTACTGAAACTCAGAAAATGAGTCAGCAATGTGATACGGTTGCAAAAAACCACAAAATTTCATTCTGGGACATAGCAGCATGAAAGTTGTTTATTAGACACAAGAAGTAAGTATTTTGTGTTATATGAATATGGATTCAGCTGAAACACTGTGTCCAGTTTGGGGGGCAGGAAATCACATTTATTTATTCAATTTATATCCCCTGCTTCCCAACAAAGGCTCTGGGTAGCTTACAATGAGAATAGAACCAAACAGAAAAACAAGAGAATAGAATCACTTTAAAGGGAACTAGAACATCAACCTAAAACACAGACCCCCTAAATAATATGCAGACACACTAGAGAAATCCCAAAGGAGGACAGGAAGAATGCCAAGTTTAGATAAAAGCAGGACCTTTGAAGGATGAGTACAGGAATTGGGTTTGTTCAAGAGAAGCTAGAGGTGGGTGAGAAAGCTGATAAATTCTCCATATCTATTTGGAGGCTTCAAGAAGAAACTGGCTTAATACACAGCCAAAAATTAGGCTGGGTGTTAGGAAAAAATATTTAGCTAGTTATGGTGATGGAGCACTGAAACAGGCCATGAAGGGACATGTAATAAAGTCTCTTATATTTGAGGTTTCCAGTGGAACATCAGTTAGACATTGTTTAGTGACATTTTGTCCTGCCTCACTGCAGGCAGTTAAACTAGATGATTTCTTGAGGCAGCCTTTTTACACTTCTGAGATTCTTTGACTGCAGACACTCAGATGAAGATGTGCTCTGGCTTTACAGTTTATCATTGACAGTTCTGGAAACATTTTGTTATCTTGCAGAAGTTTGAAACTGTGGTTGGCGAAAGAGGGGCACAATTAAGCGGTGGTCAGAAACAGAGAATAGCAATCGCACGAGCTCTGGTTCGCAATCCCAAGATTCTTCTCCTTGATGAAGCAACATCAGCATTGGATACTGAAAGTGAATCAGTTGTGCAAGCAGCTCTAGACACGGTCTGTATAGCTTTAAAACAAAAAGAATGACCAGGAAGCTAGTAGTTAAACTTTCAAAATTTTGTGCAAATACATGTAAGAAATAAGTGAATCCATGATTTGTAAAGGAGGGAGCAGCAGGAGCAGCAACTGGCTCACTCTGGCCCCCATGCAGCCCAGGCGAGAGAGAGACTGGAGGAAGGCCAAAAACTTGCCAATGTCTATCCCAAACAGCCATGCAGTTGGTCCAATAATAAATATCACCCACAAAATGTCTTGCCATCTTCTGCAACTTGTGTATTGCCATGTGTATTGTTCTTACATTGGTCCCCTACTTGATTAATTGGGTTGAGGGTCTGCAGGCAAAGAAAAAATTACCTGTATCCCATAAACTGTTGTAGAGATGGTTGTGCTGTAGCAGGTACCTCCTGCAGTCAGGACGCATTCCACTGCTTCACTCATATCCCAACATAGGATTATACTTTTAGAAGCAAAACAGAGCTTCTTCAGTATTTACACTGTCTCTATTCACTGAAACCTTCTCCCAGTTTGAACTGTTAGGGACCTCTTTTTTAGCCACTTCCCTGCTGCTCCTTGTAAACAATGTAGTCCCAAGGACAGCCATGATGCCCCCTGGTGGCTCCACAACTATGCCCTACTCTGCCCCTAGGGCACCTTCCCTTCTCACCTGCCATGCCTTGATAGAATAATACTAATAATGGCTGCCCATGGGTCTATGTGTGGTCCCAGTCCAAGTGAACTACCCACTAGGGTTTCATGGCACCCTACTGGCCTCTGTTATGCTCTGCCCAGTCCCTTTGCTGGGCCTCTCCATGACCATGCTGCTGCTAGGCATCTGGAACCTTAGGTTAACTGTGTGGCTCTAATCCTTCCCTACACCACACCCCATGCCTCACGGGTATTACCATAATGGTGTTCTCTCCTGTGGGGCTTTGGGGCCTCCTCAGCCTCTGTCCCTTTACTTTGGCTAGGCCTTCCACCATGTCAAACCTGGCTTTAAGGCACTAGCTCTGGTTTAGCCTTCAGGCACTGGGCCCCTGGCCCCTACCTCTTCAGCCCCCTGGCCACTTCCTGGTCATGCCCCTCTCAGGCACTGGGCCCCTGCCCCTTGTCTAGTTGTGTCCCTCTCTGGCACCAGGCCCCTGTCTAGTCACACCCCTCTCAGATGACAGGCCTCAGCCCCTGTCTGACTCTGTGGCCTCACTTTCTGCCAGGTCTGGGCTCACCACTCACTTGACTCATGAGCCTGCACCTGGCAGGCCTCAAGGCAACCATGTACCCCACAGGCATTACTAGGACCTCTGTATACCACCCATACCAGTCCCAACCCAACCATCAGTGTAGCTGCAATGTAAACAATAGGATGCTGGGCTATAATGTAAGGATAAAGGGGAAGCAGCCTCCTGCCCCTTTAAGGCAAACCTTCGAGCCTCTCTAGTGCCAGTATGGCTTCTGGCCCTGGGCTAGCCTTATGTGCTTCTGGAGCCTCCCTGGGGTGCCACAGGTGAGATACACCAGTCCATTCAGGAGCCCTGCTGCCTGCAGCTCTTCACTCTGTGGCTGCAAGGGACAGCCTAGCTTGCTAGTCCCAGCCCCCTTGGGCACTGCTACACTCCTCCCAGAAGTTAGCTGTAGAATATGGAAGGGAGAAAGGAAGTCACAGGTAGAGGCACACAGAGTGGCTAGAACTCTTTTATCCAACTCTTTCTCATCCAGCCCACTATATCAATCTGTTTCTCTACAAGCTTGAAGTGGAGATTGTGCCACATCTAGAGAATGGAGTGTCCTCCTTCCTGGTTCCTGCAAAGATCTACAGGTTTCCCTTGCTTTATGCTGTACATGCATTCCTGGAAAACTGTGCATAACTTGAATTTGTAAAGTGGGTTCCCTTTATGCAGTGTAACGAATAAGGATACGTTCCAAGACCTTGACTGTACTGACCCCCAGACCCATTTCTACCACTTACAAAAGTGGAGTCACACCGTTCCTGGGGAAACTGCAGCTCCAGAAGCACAGGTACCAGCTGCCCTGAGCAACAGCCATGGGTGCTGCTGCTGGGTAGCTTCATGGCTCACAGCTCCTGGGGTGCCATGCTGACAGGGCCTGACCGGGTCAGGCTGCAGGGGTCAGCACTGCAGCCCAGCTTGGGCACCACCACCTGGCTCAGCCCCGCAATAGTTTTTTCTTCTTCCACCTATGGCCTCACACCCACAATGCACTGCACAAAGCAGCTGACTGCAGGCTTCCACCACACCAATCACATGAGTGAATTTACCTTGCATATAACAAATTTTTTATCACATAAGAGTGAATTTGCCCATACAGGACCCACATAAAGCAAGGGAAACCTGTACTTAGTCTACGGCTTCAGCACTTGCAGAAGAAACAAATGCCTTCTGTAAGAACAGTGCTTAAGTTCCCTAACTTAACTCTGGCTGAGTTACTTTTAACTTCAAAATATCTTGAAAATGTTAGTTTATAATATTAGTTGTTAGCCATAGATTATTTTTTCACAAGTCTTAGACCCAAAATGAAGGTTTGGTGTAGGTTTAAGTGAAGTTATCAGAACAATAATTTATCTGCATGTATAGGGGCACATCTACATGTGAAGTTTACTGTTGAGTAGACCAATTAGTTCCATAGTAAACATCTTGGTGTCTACACATGCAGGGCTATCAGGCTGGAGTAAACTAATAAGCTCTGCAGCAGGTTAGTACTTGTAAATACAAGTATAAAGCTGCTGCAGTTTTTTTTCACAGCAGCACACATGTAGACACTGACCTGGCTGGCTGGGGCATGCACGTGCTTCAAGGCAGGGTCTGCCTGCCAGCTAGCTCTGTGCCAAAGCACCCTTTTTCCCCCCAGACAGCCAGCCTGTCTTTCCACCTCCCACCCCCACACAGCACACTGAGCCAGGCTGGAGCAGCCCTGAGCTGGCAGGCTGACCTCCTGAACCCCCTGCCAGGCAGGGCCTCTCTGACCCAGCTCAACAGAGTGCGGTCCCAGGCACACATTCAAATGGTGCATCCAGGAGCAATAACCTCTGGCACCATAAGTACCGTAGTTTATTGTGTTGCATTAATACGCATGTGCAAAACACATCCTAGGACTGCTAAAGGAAGCTTTACTTTGTTAGGTGTGACAGAAATGTTTCCACCTTTCAAGTTCAGATTTTATGGAAAATTTTGATCTTTCACAAAGCTTAAAATTTATAATAGGAATATTTTCAGTCAAACAATATTAACCAGCTGTATTTGAAAGGTAAAATGTAGTATAGGTATTTCTACAAGACAGTCTTTATAAAATATTTTTTGTGCATTTTCTAGGCACGGAAAGGACGCACCACTATTATAGTAGCTCATCGTTTGTCTACAGTTCGTAATGCAGATGTTATAGCTGCATTTGACGATGGAGTTATCACAGAACAAGGAACCCATGATGAACTGATGAAAAGGAATGGAGTTTATTACAAGCTTCTTAATATGCAGGTATTTTTCCCCCTAAATCTACATTTCATCATGTTCTATTTTGCTGATTTTATTATATCAGATTCAGTCCATTAGAGTCCCAAACCATCATGTCATCAACAGAAAAAATATATGAGTCAGATGCATCAGGTAAGTTATCCCCAGACTGGAGACACCTCCAACCCCCAGACAAAGCCTTCTTTGGAGCAGCCCAAAACCATCCACACTATCCCAGTCATAGGAAGCCAAAACCCAGGTTTCCAGAAACAAATTCTTGAAGAGGTGTAGGTGCACTGCATCAACCTAGACCAAGACCCAGCAGGGCATGTATATGACAGAGGACAGCCTCCACCAGTGAACAAAATCCCACACCATCCATCTTCTGCACACTGCAACCCATGTGACATGCAAGCCCCAACCCAGCCCCCAAACAAAGCCTTCTTTGAAGCACCCAAAATTATCCACACCAGAAGCCAACACACAGGCTTCCCAAAACAGTCTTGTAGAGCTATAGGTGCACCTGGCCTCCAAACCAGCAGGGCCATCTAGCCATAGTACATGGCAAAGAGGCCTGGCCTCCCTCAGTGAACAAAGTCCTACACTGTCCATCTTCTACACACAAGTATCTGTGTGACAAGCCCCAGCCCAGGCTGTAGACACCTCCAACCACCCTGCTTCAAAGCACTTCAGAAAGATAAGCACAAGTACACCCCATCCCAAGAAGGTAAAAACCAGGTGCTCACAAACCCAAAGCAAATAAGCATCCAGCTGGCCTCAGATGAAGCAGAGTCACCAAGCCCCCATACATGGCAAGGAGGCCTCACTTCCCCCAGTTAAACTAAGTCCCATCCAGTGCATCTTGTGCACACTAACTTCTGAGACAAGTCCCAATGCATCCCCAGGCTGGAGATACCTCCAGGCCTCCAGACAAAGCCTTCTGGAAAGCACCCCAAAACCATCCACACACCTACCCCAGTGAACAGAAGCCAAAACCCAGGCTTCCAGAAACACAACCTTTTGTAGGGGTGTAGGCACACAGCATCAACCTGGCCTCCAAAACAGCAGGGCCACCTAGCTATGGTACATGGCAAAAAGGCCTGGCCTCCCCCAGTGAAAGTCACATACAGTGCATCTTCTGCACACAAGCCACTGCATGACAAGCCCCAGCCCAGGCCCAGACAGGAAACACCTTGAAACCACACCCTTCTTCAAAGCACCTGAAAACAATCAGCACACATGCCCCATTGCAGGAAAATTAAACCAGGTGCCCCCAAACCCAAAGCCTTCTAAAGGTCAAGGCACATAATCTTCAAACTGGCTTCAGAGGAAGCAAAGCCCCATACATGGTAAAGAGGCCAGGCCTCCACCCAACAAAGTCCCACACAGTGCATTTTTTCTACACACTGAAGCTAGCCTATGATACACAAGCTCCAACCCAGCCAGAAGCAGGAGACACCTTCAAGCGCTCAGCCAGAGCCTTCTTTATAATTAGGCTCATCATACTAAGAGAGTATTTACAGCCATTCACACGAATGCAACCAAACCTCTCACTCTGACTTGCAGTAAAAATGATTACAGTGCTCTGCCATCTCCAGCCCATCCCACCCCTGAAAGGTACATTGCAGGAAGGAACCATTCTAGATCCCCTCCCCTATCATGGCTCAACAAAGCAGAGGCCAGGCCCCAGCCATCACCTGCAGCCAATTAGCTCCATCCCAGCCCCACCTAGAGCTCAATCCAGGCAGGGCTTCACCCCCAGCTGCCAGCTGTTCCCTCCCACCTGACCTCAATCGTACCAGGGCCCCAGCCCCCGCCTACAGGTTGCTAGCCCAGGCCACTAACTCTAGCCACACAGATCCAAGCAGCCTGGCCATTCCCAAGGCTCCAGCCACACCCAGGCCCTTGTTTCACCTGCCCTTCAGGCTGGGGCCCAACACAGGCCCCCCTTCACCAGAGAAGTGGCTGCACCCAGAACCTGGCCCTAGATGCAGCCACACACCCACCACCCCGTGCCACGGCCCAGGCTGCAGCAGGCTAGCCCCAGCACCACAGGCAACTCCAGCACCCAGCATTGGAGTCCTTCCCCACCACCCCCTGCCAGCTGCGGCCAGCCGTGGCAGCTCCCGGTGCCCAGACCCCCGACGGGACCAGCCCCACCTCCTAACATGTGCCGTGAAAGGACTCACCGCCACTGTCCTGAGGTAAGGCTCCTGCCTGGCTCTGCGCCCGGCTCCAGTTTCGCCTGCGGGAGAGCGTGTGTCAGCGCCTGTGCCCAGCCCACCCGCCCCGGTTTCCCCGCGCTGTCGCTCCTGCCTGGCACCAAGCGGGCACGTGGCGGAGCCGAGCCCAGCCACGCCCTGCGCCTGCCCCACGGAAACAGGGGCTGACCCACACATTACAGAGTATAAGCGTTACACCACCCCACCCGGCCCCAGACCACAAGGAGCAAACCTAGAAAACCACTTACCATGAAGAAAAACCATAAGATTCGGACAAAAGCACACCCCACCTAGCAGCAGTGCAACAGGTTAAATAAGCATGAACTGTTGGGGATCGCCTTTATAAAGGTTAACGAAGCTCCTCCCCCAATTAGGCATTGACCAATGAGCAGCCACGGGCGGGTTTCCTCAGCCTTTATAAAGTCGGCGCCAGGCATAAGCCCGTATTTTACTGGTGGCGCTGTGGGAGGTGCTGGTGTCTTTGTGGGTTCGTGCTTTCTGCTTTTCTTTCTCTCTTTTCAATTTTTTAGCGAGTCTCTGGGCTTGGGGGGGCTTCACTTCCCGGGTTTTTTCTTGAGCCTTCATTGGTTTGCTGTTTCCTGTGAGGGCAGTCCTGGCTGCTGAGCCCTGGGCGGGGTGCGCGAGGCTGGTGGTGCCGTGGGGCTGCAGCAGGTGCGGGGGTGGCTGAGCTCCCTGTAGAGACTGCGACTGGACCTGGTTGTCGGGGTCAGTAGCTTACTTCTCAAGAGTATTTATTTCTGATACTACACTCTGAAATGGGGAAGATCTTCCCAAGTCAAATTTTATACTTGCTTACATTGTAACTTGTTGTTCAGTTCTGATCTGTTCTGCTTAATTAACATTGGTTTAGTTTTTTACTTAACCTACTTTTCAAGTACAGTATGTTATGTTGTACTCTATTTCAGAAGGTAAGAAGTGATGTTGAGTCAGAAGAAGTTGAAGATATATTAGGCCTCAAAAAAAGCACTTCAGAAGTGGCACTGACAAGGCAATCCACTCGGAAAAGCATCAAAAAGCCCAGAACACAGAGTGATATCCATGATGTCAAAATTGTTCAGCCTGTAAGTGTCTATACTTTGTTTCTAGTAACCTTAGTAGAACACATGGGTTAACTGCTGTTCTACTTTACATGCTTATTGGGCCTATATGTCATGATGCAACTGCTTTTTATCATGTAACACACAATTAGAGGTTCTTTTCCTCCCTGTAGTGAGAGAATTGCCCCACAGCCCTACCTGCTGGACATGAAATGGAGGACCTTCCATCTTTTGGTCCAGTGACCTAATGGTTAGGGACCTTGCCCAGATTCTAGGTTACATTTCTCTAGAGGGGTTTGAACCTGCGCTTCCTGCTTTCCAATAAAGTGTTCTATCAGTTTGTGACCAGGCACTTTTCAGCTCTGCTTGAAGCTGGCCCACGGGGTAGCCAAAAGGAAGACACATGTTGGTCCAGGGAGAAAAGTACAAAATAAGAAGTGCATTGCTCTGAGGGCGGTCATTACCTACTCTGGGTTTTTCCCATGCTTCTGGGTTTTGTTGGTTGCCATATGGGGCTGGGAAGTAGTTTTTTTCTGTCTTGCTGCTAGTTGCCAGGTTTTTTGCTTCCTTCAAAGCACTGGGTGTTGGCTGCAGTTAAGGCTGAGGATTTTGACAGGTCTACTAGTGCTTCTGCTGAAACTTAAACACGGAGGCTCCTGGCTAGAGGGTCTTGCTCTTCTGTTCAGAGTCAAACTGATCATGAATTAATTTTACCCCATGATCAGATTGGTACAGACTGGAGGTTTTTGCCTTTGTAATGGGGTTGGGAGAGTATATGGCCCTTTTTCTTGGATCTCACATGTATTTTAACAATCCTGCTGCAGCAGAGCATTCATTGGCCACTGTGGTCACCCTGCTTTACCTGTGGCAGGCTAAGGTGCTATGTCTTGTGGTTGTGTCTGGAACTAGCTATAGTTTTAATAGATTAAGCAAAGGGGTTCGTATAGGATGTTTTGATTGTATGATCCAGCCTCTGGCAAGAGTTTTGACTAAATGAACTATGGAGGTCTCTTCCAGGCCTACTCTTCTAGGATTCTAACCAGGGACATTCCTCCTAATAGGGCAGCAATTTTCCCATTGTTGTTCATCCAGTAAATAGTAAATGCAAGTTCTGGTAGGGACAACTTCAAAAGGAGGACTCTGGGTAATGCCTGTCCTATAGCCTGGTGGTTAGAGGGCTTTGCAATGCAGGCTCAACTGCTTCTAGATGAGTGGGGCCTAAAAACAGGGTCTCAAGCTCTCAGGCAGGTGCCCCAGCTACTAGGTTCTGGGGTGAAAAGTTGGTAAGGCTGTCCTTTTCCTCCTCCTCACCCCCCCATCACCTAACATCCATTAGTCATGGTTTTTGTCCAGTGAACACTGAGATTTAGCTTCCCTTATGGGTATACCAGGGAGATGTTACTAGATAAAGCTTACTTATTCAGAGAAAATACTCTGTCTACTGTTCTGCAAGCTTCTGGGCAAATGTAACAACTTGTACATAATATTCTTAAAGGCTCACCCTTTACACGTAATATATCCCCATGTAACACTAACACTGAAAGTTTAATTCAACCCATAGTCAAAGCACATTTTAACCAGTCTTAGTCTGTGTTGGCTTTTTAGTTCCAAGTGATCTTCTTAGTTTCTCTTCATTCTCAATCCTTATTGGTTCAATTCTTGTTTGGTTTCCTTGTTCAGATGTCTCTACTTCTGTGTTGCTTTCAATCCCCTCTGTCACTTCTTGTTCCTGTGGAGCAATAAACTCCAGAGCAACAAGCCCTGCACTTTATTCACACATGAGAATATGCACATGTAGACATGTGCCTTGACTGCTAGTATAATACAAAGTTATCATACAAGTGCTAGACAGTAGCTTATAATGTGATAAGATAACAGTATTTAACAGCTGAGTGTCTGGTTATGAACAAGTTTATAAATTATAAATAATATGTTGATTTGGTTATATTCTTGATGTGTTTGATTTTGCTTAATGTGAGCATTCAGACAAGCAAAACGGGGTATGTGAGAGAGTTCAAGGGGAAAGAGTTTTTTGTCTACTTATTTTCATCTCATGAAAATATTTGTTATGCATGAAACAAAATTGCTTCAATATGGAAGTATTCTGTATGTTTAAGTCCATAAATTATGGAGGAGAAACAAAATTGGTGCAACATAAGCTCAAATTCAGAACACGAAATCATTGGTGTAACATTTGCTTCAAATATATTAGCATTTATAGCCTGAAATATGGTTGTGTAAACTATTTAGCAAAAAATAGTAAAAATAGTCATCTGAATGTGGATGTTAGTAAGCAATTCTTACTCCTGTATTCCTTATAAGTGTGCTTTCACTGAAGATAAATTTGTGTGTAAGCCCCTCAGGCTAAAGTTCAAAATGTAAGCCTCAAAGGAGAGGAGAGACTGCTGCAATAACACTCTTATACTTTATTGCTTCTTTCACATGTTAATATTGTGTAGTAAGTAACAGACAGGTATGTACTACAGTTAATTAAGAAACTTTCTATTAGAAAGCAAATATTTGAGCTACTTAAGGATGGTAACTAGGAGCACACAGTTCCATATCCATACAGTTCTTTTCCCCAGTAGATGTTACATATGTGTCTTAATGGGATCCCTATGTTTTAGGATGAAGATGTACCTCCAGTTTCATTTCTGAAAATTATGAAGCTGAACAAAACTGAATGGCCTTATTTCATAGTTGGAATTTTGAGTGCAACTATCAATGGAGCCTTACAACCTGCATTTGCAATCATATTTTCAGAATTTATAGGGGTAAGGTTTTTTTTTGTTTTGTTTTGTTTTTTTTGTTTTTGCTTTTTTTACATACTTAAAAACTATGCTGCCCACTTTAGCTTTGATTTCTATTACTTGCTACATTTAAATAGCTTTCCAGTAAATTGATAAATGTTTCAGGTACTACCTAGATTTATTCCACAATGTCTAGATTGTACTGTAAACACAGAATCCTTCATTAGTAAAAGGCATTGGTGTTATGGGATTTTCCAGCAAGGCCTCTCATCTGCCAGACTGTCACTGGGGGAATTCCTGCTGCAAAGTGCAGCCTGTGCCCCTCCCACTGACTTCACTTTAGGCCTTCTGTCCCATTTTATACAAAGACATTATAACTGGCAGAGTTGGCATGGAGCAAAGGTGAGGCTTTTTGCAGTTTCTCTTTCTCCCATTTGTGTCTGCATAGTTTCAACCATACTTTATGCAGTTATGATGATGATGTTCTGTTCTTTTTTGGCTAATGTGAAAAGTGGAGGAAGGAAAACACTTCCAGATAGAATATTTAGTGGAGAATGGAATCACAGGAACCTCTATAGTACTAGAAAGTAAAGCTGAAAGAGCCAGGCATTTTAATGCTATCTGTATTTGAACTGATCAGGATTATTCAACCAAATAGCTTTTGGTGGTAAATGTCAGATCATTGAAATCAAATGTAGAAACGAAAATCAAATGAACTAGATCTGATGGGGAAGAAAGGTCTGGGCATAGGTGTGTACACACAGCACAACAGATGTAGGAGAGACTGAAGTTGTTTTCCTCAGAACTACCTAGCTCTCTTGGCTTTTCATGGGAGGGAATCTTTCTGTTTTTTCCCTAATTTGTAAGGTTTGGGTTTTATTCTTTGTTGGGAAAATTTTTGAAAGCACAAGTGTAATGAGATTGGAAACTTTCCTGCCCCTTGTCTGGCCTCGGCCAGAAAAACATCAAGTACCATGTGTCATCAGCAAGCACTTGATATGAATAATAATAGGAGAGAGATCTCTGAGAGAAGGCAGCAGTTCTGTTTCAAGCCTGCCTGTCTAATGCTTGTGTCTCAGTGCAGTGTAAAAAACATTTCTTAGCAAAGGACATTACACATGCATAATAAATTGTACACAAAACTGTTTCTACATCTCTCATACAAATTCAATCTTATTTGTTCTGCAAAGAATGAAGAAGGTCTCAGACTTGCAGCCAGTGACTCCAAGGTTCTATTTTAATGACTTCTCTACTGAAGACACAGTGGGTGCATCTACCCACGCAGTTAATGCAAAGCAATAAACTCCAGAGCTTATTGCTCAAGAGGCATTACCTGGGAGTAAGAATCTATATATGTGCCTGGGATGCTGCAGCATGTAGGGCTGGGGCGGTTATCCCTGGCCCACTGTGCTGTGGAGGGGCTGGCTGGGGCATGAGGTATGGAGCTCATTAGTCTACTGCACAGTAAACATTCCATATAGGTGTCTGGTAGATGTATAACTTCCCTATTTTGTTCAATAAATGAAAAACAGTTTATACTAGTTGCTAATTCTGAGTGTCTTGGAAAACGAAGAGTTGATCTTCATGGAAAGAACATGAGATTTACAATACCTTAGTTGAGTGTGAAATTAGTGTTAAAAAAAAAGAGAGAGAGAGAAAAATAAATTACTACATGCATTCAAACTGTGCCTGAGCAAGGTACTGTATAAAGATTTTAGCTAGTCATTTAATTAAACAAAATTATCTTTTAAATTTCTTTTTATAGATTTTTGCAACAATAGACAAGACCAGTATAAGAGACAAGAGCAACATGTATTCACTGTTACTTTTAGTCATTGGAGTAGTTTCTTTCATTACATTTTTTCTCCAGGTAAGACTTAATATGTTTGCTTTTACTGTAGCTGTTCTTGTTGTAGAAACCAGATCTCGAAAGATATTAAGCTTTTATTTCCTTTGACTCAAACAGCAAGGGTGAAGAACAATTATGATAAACCTCTTATGCAAAGTGATTTTAACATGGCTGTTAAAAAGCCTGGGTCTTGAACATTTGAGATTATGCATTCATAAGTCACATATAATTATTTAATAGATTGCATCAGTGTTTTTCCTTCCCTTGTATTGTGTTAAATTCTTGACCCTGTTTTTCAAAATACAGTCTAAAATTGCATGAGCAAAACTGGGCACATACCCATTTGCCTACATCAGTGGTATGTTTAGCCTATGGCTTATGGATTGGATTTGGCCTGTGGAACTATCATCTGGCCCATGGGGCCAGTGGAATCATTAGGTGCTGTGACACTGGCGCTGTCATTTCCCTAATTCATAGTTCTCACTAAAACTACATTTATTTTGATTATCAAGCAACGGCAATGTTTAGGACTGGATGGGTTAAATGACTCTCAATGAGACGCTGAGACTGAAATCCAGGTTTAGTTAAAGTTGATGGAGAAATTTACCATTCGGGGGTTTTTGGTGGTGAGCAGGGGACAAGGGTTTTATTCTGAACCTTTTACCTTGAAGGTCCTGGCTTAAAATTTTTAAATTTTACCTTAGATCAATTGTGATAAAGTGGCTAAAATCAAATGTGCGGTAGTGTAGGGGAAATTAACATTGCTGCATATTTTGTCAAAATAAAGAAATAATTTTACTCCCCATGCTGAAGTTGGCTACCCCTCAAGAACTAAATCAAGGTCGTAAAATCTCTTATCATTATAGACTAAATATTGTATAGTTTTAAAACTTGTGGTTTTGCATATGGAGATGCAAAGAATCACAAGTCTTTATTGAATAAAGACCAGATAGTCTTACTGAGTGTGTCTACACTTGCAATTAATTTTAAACACATTCCAGAGCAGTTTGAGACAGAGTAAACTATTCCCAGGTGCAGCATCTACATGTGTGCCTGGGACAGCAGCTACTTGAGCAGGGGTGGAGCTGTTTTTGAGGGCCACTCCTGCTGTGCTCTGCCCTGGGCTCTGGGTGGTGGCATCAGGCAAGCAGAGGGGCTGACTGAGACACAAGTTTGCTGAAAGTGTGAAGGTGCATGGCTAGGTGGCAGGCAGGAGTCTGGCCTCTGGCTGGTTGGGCTGATGGGGCCCAGTTTACACCTGAAGTCAGCATCTACATGTGCATTTAATCACAGTTAATTACCCTGCTGTAAGATAGTACTGTCCCCAACAGTTGGGGACAGTACTATCTTACTGCAGTGTTAATTAGTATACTGTAGCCTAATACTGCCAAATGTGTAGGTAGTGACTTTACTCTGCAGCTAATTCGTCTACTTGGTTGTGTAGTAACCATGCTACTTCTCAAACAGGGTTTCACATTTGGCAAAGCTGGAGAGATCCTTACAATGAGGCTTCGATTCATGGCCTTCAAAGCAATGCTTAGACAGGTATGGATAATATATTTAGCTTTCTAGTGTTTTAAAAATGCCTGTTTCTTTGTCATGAATAGCTTCGTATTTAATTCTGTATAACTTTATCTGCACTTGAACTGGCATTAACTTTTTTTCAGATTGGTTTAGAAATTGACATATTAAAATTGTGCCCACACAAGGATATTATATTAGCTAAGTTTAAGAGGTTTGTATTAATTTAGTTCAAGACTTAAGCATTTTGAGTGTAATACATAAGGACACTTTAACAAAATCAGTAAATCTTCAGAATGTAAACCAAACCTAACTGTATAAACAGAGAGGAGAGAGCATTCTAGGGACCCAATTCTGAAATGCACTTCAGTGTTCATATTTTTACCTCCAGGTAACTTCGCAGTAGGATCCACAGTGACAACACACATTACAACAGTCCAGTCCACTCTCCCATGTTCCTTTTTAAAGTTGGCCCCTAAGGCAGCCAAGAGATGTGCAGCCAGGAAGAAATATGCAAGCTGAAGGACATGTGGCTCAAATCACTGCTACTTTGAAAGGGAGCATGCCCTGGGTTCTAGCCTAGGTCTTTACTCCCTAAGCAAAAAGTTCTTCACTGCACTACTCTCTGTACATTATATTTGGTAATTATTAAATGCAAGGTGCAGTAGCTTGGCTTCAGTGTGCTGGCAAGGTGTTTGGGTAATGTTCGACTTGTGGTATGGTCATCAGACTACAGTTCTTTCAAGTTGGGGATCATTTGAATCTATAGACCTCCTACTTCTCAATTCAGTGCCCTAAACATGCAGTTGGGGATCAGCAGCCCCTACCATTGTGCTGACCCATATGTCCCAGTTTTTTTCTCCAGGTAGCTGCATATACATGCATGGCCAGTGCATAGCTGACTGCATATGCTCAGTCTGTGTGCATGCATGTGTTGGTGGTGAAGGGATAGTAGAATTGCAGTTGCCAAAAATGATACTTTATACAGGTAAAATAACTGCCATTCAGATTCCTTTAAGTCCTCACCAACTCCTTGGACTATAGAACTAGTATTGTTTCCCTTTGTGGCCACCTCTCAAACGCACAGGAAAGAAGCCACATAGACTTAAAGAAGTGGTGCTATCTCTGTAGATGGATATCATGCTCAAAACTGTGGCCATGTTTTATGCTAGACTCGCAGCTTCCACATGAGCATCTGCAATCCGAGGAGACATCAAAGAACAATTAGTCAGAAGTTTGTTTTGAAAGTGCTTTACAGTGGGTGCATCTACATGATGCAATCGACTCCAGAGTTGTTTGAGCCAGAGTACACTACTCCCTGGTGCAGCATCTATACCTGTGCCTGAGACATCAGCAGTTTGAGCTGGGGCAGAGCAGGCCCAGGCTGGCAGCAGGCTTGGGAGGTTAGCCCATGGCTCCAGGTGTCCATGTAAGGTGGTGGAAGTGCTGGCTGGGGCACAAGAGTTCAACTCCATATTGTAGTTGATACAAATTGTTTAAAGTGTTTTTACACTTGGATATCTTTGTCACACAAGGTTATGAAACTTGTTTTTCTATAAAGAACTGAAACATTAACACAGAGGTTGCCTTCTCATCCAAGCTGATTCTCAGTTATCTTGTACAACCCTACTTTTTCTTCAGTTTTGTCCATGAGTTTTCTAATTATATATCAGACAAACTTTTTCCTAAAAGTTTGTATTGTATATTATTTCCTAAAATATATATATTGTATATTGTTTCCTAAAACCTAAAAATGTTTATTTTTTTAGGACATCAGCTGGTTTGATGACCCAAAAAACAGCACTGGGGCATTAACTGCAAGACTTGCTAATGATGCTTCACAAGTGAAAGGTGTAAGTAGGGGGCACAGAATTGTCATTTGCTAAATCTGGTTTGGCATATGGTCATGTTCCAATGTAGATTTGCTATACTAGTAGCATTAGCAGACATTCATTGAATAGTGTGGTGGGATCTGAACCTAGACCCTAACAGGCACACATTCTATCATGTCATGTATGTAGGGGGATTTTGGGGATCAGATATCGAATGAGTCTCATTGAAATAGCACAACTGCTATCACATGAAACCTGGCATTTGGGACTAGTGCCTGATACCATGGTTTCCATGATATACCTTCAACTTTATGCATATGGGGCCTAGGATTGCCGTTCTTGTTTCTATGCATGCTGCCAAGTGGAAAGTTTCAAATGGGGCAGCCTAGCATGGGGCTGCCATGCAAGTTGATTTACTGGTGCCTGGCTGGGGCCTGTTGGCTCCCCTTGACAAGCAAGTTGGAAGCCAGGCATGGGTCAGCTGCACACAGATTTAAACTTGCTGGAAAGGGGGAAATTGAACATCACATGTTCAATTAAAAAACACTCTATGAACCAGCTGCAAAATTGTTCCACATTTAATGTCTCCGTAGACACGGAATATCTTTGTAGCTGGCTTGCCATTTTATGGCATGATGGATTGGTTTAACTTGTGGCATGTTGTCTTCATCGCATGATTAACATATTGATCATATGATCAATGTAACATTGCTGGTGTGTACTATTAGTCATCAGTATAAGAAGATACATTTGCCTGACACTAATTGTCTAATTAATAGTAATTTTCAGCAGCTACCAGAATCAAGATTGTAATCTAAGCAATGTAATATTCAGGTAAACTATTAGTCCTGTGAATCTAATTATAGTAAAAGCTCTGTTATCCGGCATCCCTGGCTGTGGGGGCTCAGCAGCACAGGCTGCTTTGCCCTGAGCCATGGGGGCTCAGAGAAACCAGAAGTGCCATGGTGGTTTCACTTTTTTCTTACAAGCTGGCATGCTGGTTAGTGGAGCATGCTGGCTTGTAAGATGCCAGATAACAGAACTTTTACTGTGAATACATATATTTTTATTCAGAAATCTGTCAATCTAAAGTAATCTATGGAATATATTTAGGTTTCTATATTGCATATATTTTCATAGTATCTAGAGTTCCAGTCCTACAATGTTATAAAGCATGAAAGGATGCTGTGCCTGAAAATTTGTTATACAAGTCTCAACCACACAGTTGTTCCAATAAATAAGATATCTCACACAGTTGCTGTTTGTACATTTGCATGACTGTCTGTTCATGTGCTTATGCAGTGTTTACCTACTGTGTTCTTTTGGGACCTGTACAACAAAAAAAAGAACAAAAGAAAAACAAACAAATGAACAAAAACAGTTAGCTCAAGCTATTTCTCCAAGGTACCTGTAAGATTTAAACGTATAGACCATGTCTAGACCACAGACTTCCATGCTCAGCATTGTTACCTTTAAATGTGTGGTATGGCTTTGCAAATGCTACCACCTGGACTAGAAGTTGTACCAACGTAACTGTACGATAATTAATGATGCTTAGTGAGTACCCAGTTGCTTGCCCTTGAGCTTAGTGAGTACCCAGTTGCTTGCCCTTGATACGATGCAGATATAGCTAGTACATCTTCTACTTAATGATGGCTCATGAAGAACAGCATGGTATATTTGAGTGCTACTGCTGGGTATAATATTTTTGGCATAGTGATGGCTACAACTGTATAAGCAAATTGTCAGATTTATAAACCCTAGGTTTAGATTTTTAGCAGAACTTTTAAATTAAAAATGAAAACGGAGAGTGAGCAGATGGAAACTGGGCAAGGTAGAAGTGGATCAATACCAGAAGATAAAGGGGCATGTCTATACAAGACTCTTTAGTGTGCAGTAGACTAATCTACTGTGCAGTAAAGCATCACCATCTACACATACGCAGTTTTTACTGTGCAGTACATTAGTCTGTGTGGTTGGCTACTACCTGTAGATACAGGTAGCAGATTAATCATGCAGTAGCTACTGTGCAATATTGCTTGTGTAGACAGCTGACTGGGAGCAGATTGCTCCTGGTCAGCCTAAGCAGTGAGGGGTGGGGAAACTGTCCCCTCCCTGGGGCAGCTCTTTTCTCAGGCCCGGACCCTGGTGGGCAGTATGGGGCTAAGAAACAGATGCTTGGCAAGGCAACAGTTTCCCAGCTCCATGCTGTAATCTGACAATCAGGGCATGGTCCTGGGAGGCAGCTGCCATGGAGGTGGGAGAGCTTCCCCTGCTCCTCAGAGCCTAGGCCTGACCCTGGTGCCCCCTGCCAGCCTGGGGCTGGCTCCCTGGGGAGCCTGGAGCTCCCCATGGTTGCTATATGGGGGCAGAGCAGGGCAGAAGTAGCCCTACACTGAACTGCTCCTGTTGGGAGCAGATTTGCTCCCCGGGAAAGATTACTGTGCATTATTTTATTGTACAGTAGGCTTACAGTGTGTTAATAGCATCTTTGAAAGCATATGGCAAGAGCTCCAACGTTGGCAAATAACAGAACTAGATTAGGCACTTATGCTCTGGAAAATAATCCTGTACCATGGTGTGGACAACAAGTATTTTCTATGTCTAATTTCTAAGTTCCCTCTTCACTCAGATATGGAAAGAAGTTATTTTATTGGGTTTTGGTTTGTTTTTGTTTTTTTTCAGGCTACTGGTTCCAGACTGGCTTTACTCGCCCAGAATATAGCTAATCTTGGTACTGCAGTTGTTATTTCATTAGTCTACGGTTGGCAGTTGACCCTTTTGCTTTTAGCCGTTGTGCCAATCATTGCCATAACAGGACTCATTGAAATGAAAATGCTATCTGGACATGCCCAGAAAGATAAGAAAGAACTGGAAATTTCAGGAAAGGTGCGTCCAGTGAAGTTTTATTTTTATACAATGTCCTATTGTACAGGGCACTGGTAATAGATAAAAATATTACTTATAAGGAAAATCGAAGTCTGCTGTATGATATTATGTGTTCACATGTTGATGTCTTCTGACTTTCTAACATTCCTTCCCTTTATTCATCTCTGACTTTTCTGCCTCTCTGGCCTCTATTGCATGTTCCTTATATTATACAATTAACTGGCTAATTGTACAATAAATTTAGACCAATCACATGTGCAAAGTAATTATCACACCATAAAAATAACTATGTAGTTGGTTGGCTCTTTTTATAACTCAAAGTTAGTGCTCGAAAATGTGTAACTATATAGCTGGTTTCTGTCTAGCTTTAATCTGAACATGTGGCAAGGCTCTAAGGAACAATACATACAACCTGGGCACATCTTACACACAGCCTATTTCACTATAATTAAAGCATCATGTAAAACTGTTCTAATATGCTAATGTGCAGTAAAATAGGCTACTGCAGATTAAATGTCATGAAAAAGCATGTGCTTTTGCTGCTGCACATTAGGGCAGCCTAATGTGCATTTAGTACCTCATCTGGGCACCTACACACAAGTGGTGAGGCTGCTCTGATGTGCTAGAATTCTAGTGAGTCAGAGCAGACTCAATTAACTGAGTCTGCTGGAGCATAACAGTTGCTGTGCTCCAGCAGCCTCCTGCGTCTCATGTATCACTGCCCCGTACTTAAATGGTAGTAGGAGTGCTGAATGAACTTTAGTTCAAGCACCCCTGCTGCCATTTTTAAGCATGGGGATGTTGATGCAGGAGATGTTGATGTGCTTTAATTGGAGCAGTTCTGAGTTGCTCTAATTAAGGTACTGCCTCCCACCCCAGAGTACATGTAAAAGTGCCCTCGCATTGCATTAAAATTTAGTATCTCCACATTAGAAAATGCATTAATGACTATGTAGATGCATCTCTTCACTACAAAGAAGCAAGTATGCTTCACAGGCATAATATAATGCCACCCACCAATCCTGTATTGTTTAATTTCATTTTTCCTATTTCCAAAAGCAAAAGGAAGATAAACTGAAACAAGGACATAATTGTTGATGGGGAGAGTTGAAGGAGAAACCACACTCCCAAACTGTTTCCAGGGTAGAAAAGCCATTCTGTCACTTCTTCTTATGTCCTGTGCTTGTACAGGTTTGAGTGCTCTACCTTTGCTGATAAAGGACAGCTTTTTGTAAGCATTTTTGTTAGTGTTGACTTACCCAGGTTGTACAACTGCTAACATACAGTATCTCCTGTCTTTCCTACCTTCCCTTTCTTACTATTTTACAGTTATCAAACAGTATTGAGAAGGAATGGTTTTATTGAATCTAAAGTCTTTAGTAATTCCCATTTATTCACAACTTCTCTCAATGTTTTATTTTGTAAATAGGAAAGTTGCTCAGATGCATTTCTCCTTCCCCAATTAGAAAGGCGTTTTAGAAAAATACAAATACTAAATTTCTAAAGTTCCAACCCATGCTTTTTCATGAATGACAATAACAGTCTCTCCTGAACTGATAGGATTTTTGTTACACATTTGTCTTGTATTTCTTAAGTATTTTGCTACTGGATCTTGTTAATAGTTCCCTGGGAATGTTAAGGGTATTTTCTGTTGATCCTTCCCCCAAAGGCATTTTAACAAGCAACTGAGAGGATGTAACTCACCCCTCCTATCTTAATTGATGGTCTTTTTCTTTTCAATTAGCACTAGTACTTGGCACTTCAAACAGCTTCAATCTAAGATTTTATAAGAACTTCACAAGCCAATAGAGTTTCACAATACCCCTAGGTATACAAGTAAAGATGAGGAAACTGTCATAACAGTTAAACACCTGAAGACAAAACCCATGCTTTATCAGAGTTTCTGTTCATTTCTCAGCTGTGTATTGCTTTTGCCTAAGTTGCATCTTGGATCAGATCCAACTTGGCCTGGCAGGTATCTCCACTTAGGTTTTGCAACACTGAAAATCTGGGCACTTTACTCCAGAAAAACAATTAAAATGGATGATTAGGCACCTGGGAGTTCAACTCAGTGAAGGGGAGGACCTGGCCACCTCCCAAAAGTGTGATCCAGAGCATAGTGCTGAGCAAGAGACATAAAAGCAAGCCAGTAGGAAATAT